CTTTCTTTATAGTGAAGACAGCATTCTTTCTTCTAGATTTTTGAAACGTATACCACACTACCATTATCTATATAGTGACCCTACTATATAACAATGCATAAGAACCTACTCTTATGTAAACGTAAGTCCATGCCCATGGACCAATCTCCTCCTCCTCCCCACTTCTTCTTCCCTCCCTCCTCCTCTTTCTCCTCCTCCTCCTCTTCCTCCTCTTCCTCCTCCTTCTCTCTCTCTTTCTCTCTCTCTCTCTCTCTCTCTCTCTCTCTCTCTCTCTCCCCCCTCCCCCATACTCTCTAGTTCTTGTTAACTGTGGATGTTCATTATGCCAATATCAGCAATGCCTGAATAAAAATATTCAGGCTTAGGCCTGGAGAAATGGCTCAGTGGCTAAGAGCACTGGCTGTTCTTGAAGATGACCTGGGTTCAATTCTAATCATCCACATGGTGCCTAACAACCATCTGTAACTCCAGTTCCAAGGGATAAGTAATGCTCTTCTGACCTCCATGAGCATTGCATGACAAGTGTGCATTTATATACATGCACATAAAAATGATAACTTTTTTAAAAATCATGATTCTTAGCATCCATGTTAGCCAAGGAGGGACCCAAACTGCTCTGAAAACCTATTCCTTGAGATCAGAACTGTGCTCTTGAACAAAGCCCTTCCTCTCTGTCTTATTGAAACTATGTCCATCATGAAATGGAGAAGGAAGAGTGGACCCTTATATAGGATTACCTTATCCTATCTGACCCCTGCTGACTTATAATAGCGAACACGTGCACAAATATGTTATCAATTTAAGCCAACCTATGGCTTGCAACACAACTGGATAATTATCTCAATGCTTCCAAGAAATATGCTGTTTGCACTGCTTGATGTGCAAAGCATACACATATTCATACACTGTTCTGGATCAAGAAAGATTCATGAAGGGTTATGGTTATGTATTTCAGTTACAAGAGGAGCCAAAGGCCTGATAAGCTTGTTTTGCATTACAAGCAAGCCGAGGTAATACTAAATTATCTCAAACCATAACATGAACTTTTCAAATGCGAGGTTAGGTAAAAGTCACTTGTCCAGAGCATGTCCATCTTATAAAAGTCATTCCCGCAATAGCCACCACTTTCTTATCAACTCCTATGAGATCAACGTCTTTAGATTCAGCATATGAGTGAGCTCATAAGGCCTTTCTATGTCCAGCTTGTTCCTTTCAACAGAATTGTCTCCAGTTCTGCCCATGTTGCCAGAATTTCATTCATTTTAGGGCTTAATGTCGTTCCTTCGTGTACATAAACTCTATTTTCTTTATCCATTCATCTGTTGATGGATACTTTGATGAATTTCCTATCTCATCCATAATTAATATTGCCCCAGTGAATATGCAGTGCAAATGTGTCTTTGACAGTGACTTATTTCCTTGAGTACACATCCAGGGGCGATTGCTGGATCACACGGTGGTTCTATTTTTAATTTTATGAGGAGCTTCCATACTGTTTTATGTAATAGTTGAACTAATTTACACTCATAACAACAGTGCACAAGGGTCCCTTTTCTCTCATCCACACAAGTACTTGCCCTTCGTCTTTTTGACAGTATTCATTTTCCGTAAAAGGAAGTGGCAGCTCATTGTAGTTTTGATTTGCATTTCCCTGCTGATTGGTGAGGCTGAGCATATTTTCATGTCCATTTTTGTTATCTGTGTGTCTTCTTTTGACGCGCGTCTGTTTAATTCTCTCATCTATTTTCAATTCAGTTATTTGCTTTTGCGCTTAGGTTTTTGGAGTTTCTGATATTTCCTGGGTTTTTCCCCCCTCAGATGCATGCCTTGCAAATATTTTCCCCCATTCCGTAGGCTGTCTCTTCTATGTTTCTTTTGCTGTGCTGAGGCTTTTTAGTTGGATTTAATCTCATTTGTCTATATTGGCTCTTGTTTCCTGTGCCTTTGGGATCTTGTCCTAAAACCTTCTTGCCCATTCTCATGTCCTGAAACATTTCACTTATTGTTTTTCTAGGAGTTTCATAGTTTCATGTCTCATATTTAAGCCTTTAACCCACTTTATTTCCTAACTCTGAGAAGTAGGAAGGAGTCTGTGGTGGCCAGTTTGTCCAGCACCATTGACTAAACTGGCTGTCCTGTCTCCAGTGAGGATTCTTAGGGACCTTGTGGAAATTTACTTGACTACAGACGTGTGGATTTGTTTCTGGGTTCTCTGTTATGTTCCTGAGCCTGTTTTTATGCCACCACACTATTGAGATTACTCTAGCTTCTTAATACGCTTTGAAGTCAGATAGCATAATGTAGCTATATTTCTTCTTTTGTTCAAAGTGCCATTGACCAGTCAGGCTTTGGAGTATGAAGATTTGATTATTTTGCCTTCACAGCACTTCTTACTTCTTTTTAAAAATACGTGTTTATTATTTTTATTTTATGTGTATGAGTGTATTGCATGTATGTAAGTGCGCCTGTGCCATGCAATGCCTGTGAAAGTCAGAGGAGGATGTTTATTCCCTGGAACTGGCGTTATGGACAGTTGTAAGCCACCATATGGTTGCTGGGATTCAAACCCGGGTCCTCTGCAAGAGCAGCCAATGCTCCTAACTGCCGGACCATCTCTCCAGCCCCTACATCTTACTCCTAAATCTCCACACATCTTCCTGTCTGAACAAAGTAAGCTGTACTCTGTGGCTCTGAGATATCTCAGTGCCCTGGTCCAGAGCCTGACTAGAGGATAGGCAGTCATAGGTGGATGGATGGAAACACTCTATAGGCAGATGGTATGCATGCAGCCAGCAGTGAAACATGGGTCCAGATGGAGCACTGGGTAAAGTCTCTGCCTGCAGTGCCACTTGAATGTCAGCCCCAAGGATCAAAGGGTGATCCTGCCAAAGAGGAACGTAGAAAGGATCAAGTAGATCAGTCTAAGAGACCAGCTCTGGGGTTAGCCCTTCCTTCCTTCCTTCTTTCCTCTCCCTCCTTTTCCTCCCCATCCTTCCTTCCTTTCCCCTTCTTTACCTCCCTCCCTTTTCCTTCCTTTCTCCCATCCACCTTTCTCCCCCTCCTTCCTTCAACTTCCCCTTCTCCCTTCCTTCCTCTCTCCTTCCTTGCCTTCCTCATTTTTCACTTCCTCTCCATTCCTTCCTTCTCTCCCCTCTCCCCCTCCCTCCCTCTCTCCCTCTCTCTCCCTTCCTTTCTTCTCATCTTTCTCCTCACCTTCCTTCCTTCCTTCCTTCCTTCCTTCCTTCCAAATCATTCTAGAAGTTTTAAGAATGAAAGTGCTATGAAGTGTCTTTCTCTGATAAAAATGACTGAGCAATAATCAAATATCAGCATTCAAGCTCTGTTCTGCCATTCTGCAGCTGCAGGGCTCCAACCTCAACTTCCAGTAAAGCAAAGCTGGCACTTCTGCTTCTTGAGTTGGTGGTAGGGATCAAGGGTGATAAGACCCAGTTCTGCTAAAGATAAAGTAGAATATTGCACATTAGAGCTATTATCCCTTTTAAATAATGTGTCAGCTTCAAACTCTAGATAGACCTAATTTTCAGGATACTTAGGAACCACTGAGAACCAACAAGAAGGAACAAGCACAGCACACTCAGTCTTGTACTCAGTCACATCCCCTGACATCACAGCGTTGCAAGTCGGAGTTCGCAAAAACATCACCAACACCATTTCAGTAGAAAGTAGCAAGGTAATACTTTATTACGCCCTGCGGGGCTGTCTATCTCGGGAGTAGAAGCAGCCCCCGAACATTAACCGTTTAGGGTTTCTGTAGGATTACAGAAAGCATAGTTTAAACAGGACATCTGTGAGCCAATCAGGTTTGTACAACATAGCAGAATTTGAATTCACCAATCAATAGTCTGTCACTGTGTGGGCAAGTGAGACAAATATATAACTCAGCAATTTTAAAATTAGTCAACTACCTAGCCATAACAAGCATTGTAACAGAAGTCAAAATCATCAGTTACCAGATGGTCACTGAATAACAGGGTGGTCTCATAGTACTTGTCAAGGTAACCTGAAATAGCAAGAGAGTTACAGAAGCAAAAACAAGCAGTTAGCCAGATGTGGAATGTCTGAGATTAGCACGTTCCACTGGTGTGTGGTTGAGCTATTCTGAGTAAAATGGAGTAACTTGGGTTAAGTTGCTAATGTAGTTCAACAAGCTGCTCTGAGGAGCTCAGAGAAGCAAGAATTCATCCCAGGTGTGCCTGCCCAGCCACAGAGGGAAATTGAGTCAGGTAGAGGGAGGTGTGGAGATCATGATCTGAAGCCACACCAACACTGTGAGGGGTTGAGGGACAGCAGCTGACTGAGAACACTGACCTGACCCCCTGAGCCCTCCCTGAGGGCAAAACAGCAGCTGTGGGGGAGTCGGTCTCAGGGAGACCCTGTCACAACCACCCTGCTTTTGTGGTGTTTGCTTTACCAAAGATGCATAGCCTTAGGCCCTCCTCTGCCCCATTAGTATATTTGGACAATGGCTTCTTTTTTCCTACTTGTCAGAACATTCAATGTAAGATATATATTATATGCTGCTAAGTACTTATTTTAGTGTACAGAATGTATTTTAGTATATTTGAAGTTTAGGTTCCCGAAATGTAATAGATAATACAAGTTTTAAACTCCTGTTCAACATATGTGTATTTTTTCAAAACTGTAAGCATGTCATTCTATAACTAAATGTTTTTGGCACAGGAATTCATGACCTTTTCAGGACTGCAAACATTATATTAAGCTCTTTGATCTATATTAAAAGAACTTTGGGTATTTTTGGAAATAACAAATTATGAAATTGCTTTTCAACACTTTTGTTTAAGGGTGTCACAGCAACATTTCTTGAATACCATTCAGGCTACAAATTTCATTAAGGATTGTGCTCTATTTTAAGAGTAATTAATGTTTGATTTAACCTGTGTTATTCTCTTCCAATGTTTTATTCATATTTGCAGTGCATTTTACCATACAAGAATAATATTTTCTAAAATTAATTTTAGGCTTTGGAACTAACATGAACCTAACTAGCCGGGAAGATCCCAGTTCATCAGAAATTGCTTCGGATATTCAAGACAGAAATGCGAATAACCATGGAACTCAGTTATCCAATTCACTGTCTAGTGCTGTCACTGCTGAAAATGGAAATTCTGTCTCAAATGGTGAGCATTTAAAACTCGGAGATCGATGTGTAAAGTTTTAAGTTGCATCAACTTTTGAGGAAGAATGCATATGAACATATAAAAATGAAGCAGACCTAATAACTGGAAAATAGAATATAAACCATGAAACTCCACCATGGGAGTTAACGTTGGTGTATTATTGCTTAGGTTAGACAGTAGAATTGCATTCAGTGTTGGTTGACTTTTCAGAGATTTGGTGGACTGCTGGTTGTGTGAACCCATATAAAGCATGTCCTATGCTCAGTGAAACACAGTCTACTAATGCTTTTCAGTTAATCTTCACATAGCTAAGAAACATAAAGGGGAACAGTATGGGGTGGACAGAGATGCCAAAACAGCTTTAGGCTATTCAGTCCATCGCTTAGATACTGGCTTGGCTTCATTCATCTAAGATTGTGCAAACAAGCATTTTCTCTGACACCACTTTTAGTAGGGGCTGATGGGAAAATCCAACTGTCCTTTCCTGAAAAATTGCCCAGAAGAGCCAAACAGATCATTTCTGTTTACTTTAGGTTGACTAAAGGAAACCTAAAGGAAACCTAACAGGACAGTGGGCTTCTGGGAAAGGACTGAGGTGGGGACCCCAGGCCATAGTGCTAGTTATTATTTTAATAGCTATGACAAAAATGTTTGACAAAAGCAGCTCATGGTTTGGGAGGATGTGGTCCATCACAGCAGGGACAGCATGGTTACAGGAGCTGAGCAAACTGGTCACTTTGTGCCAGCAGTCAGGAAGCAGAGAGAGATGAATGCTGGTGTTCAGTTGGCTTAATCTTTTTTCCAATTTTATTCAGTCCAAGAACCCTGTCCAGGGTGCTGCCCAAATTCAGGGTTCTCTCTACAGTTAAGACTCTCTAGAAACACCATCCTATGTGGTTCTAAATCCAGGCAAATTGATGATGAAGATTAGCTATCAGATGGCTCAGCCAGCAGTCAAGAGCACGTGCTGCTCTTCCAGAGAACCTAGGTTTGGTTCCTAGCCCCACATAGTTAATGTCTGTAACTTCGGTTCCAGAGGATTCAGAGCCCTCTTTTGGCTTCAATGAGCATTGCACAACATGGGTGCACTTACACACATGCAGGCAAAATACATACACATAAAGTAAATCAATCAAAAGATAATTAAGGTTAGCCATCACAACTATGTTAGCCCAAGGAAGGCAACCCAAGTCCTACATTCTCCTACCAGGGATATTGGGGGCCCTGGAAAGTCTACCTCTGCTTCTACTGTCCCTGTGGCTCCAGACACAGAGACTAAGTCCATGGATCATCACCCAGGCTATGAAGAGGGTGGAGCTTTGAAATGCCTATCCTCAAGGTCATTTGTACCAGAACCACAGATTGCCTGGGACTCATCTGAACACCTGAGTTAGATTGAAGTGCTCATGGGTGATAGTTTCCATAGGCCTCTGAGAGAAACATATGTGAATCTGTTCCTAGGGACAGTGATAGTCTACCAGTCCTCTTAACATTCTCACAAACCATTTTCAAATACAAATCCAACACACAATGAAGATTAACCAGACACAGGAGCACATGAAATCAGGTGGAAAGTCAGAAGCACAAATGACTGTAGTGGTCTGTCCCCGGGATAGACTCTCAAAAAACCAGAGTCCAAAGATACACATCCTACAGTAAGCACATAAAAGGACGATCATCCTGCAGATGTGAGAAATGAGGCAAATGGAAGCTCTGAAACTGAGAAACTGCACTCAGGAGAAGTCCACACAAGATGAAGTTAAATTTACTTAGACACAGTTGTTGAAATGGAAGATAAGCCAGAAACTCTCCACAGCAAAGCCACAGAAGCTCAGGAAAGGAATGGAATTCTAGAAAATGGTCTGGAGACATGCCGGACACAGCAAGAAGGATTGTTGGTACTCTAGGGATATAAGAGAGTGTTGGAAAGCAGGAAAAGAATATCCAGTAGGACATGTTAGTCCATTGTGCAGCTCCGAAAGTGTCTGAGCACAGATCTAACTTGGTGGTCTGTTATGAAGCGCAACAAACCCTTGTCATGTGACCCACTGACCCTGCTCAGAGTCAGAGAGCAGAGAAATGACAGTGTCCCTGCAAACACAGGTAAGAAAATGCTTATGGGGTCTTAGTTCATAATCACTGAAACTAAAACTAAGTCCAACACACTTGAACTGTTGGCTGGATACAGATTACCCCCATTGTTAATACAACAAATGCTTATAATTTCATGTCTTCTAAGGATGAGGAAGCTGAATGTGGCTTGGTTTAAGTTTGTCATGATACAGCAATCAAGCTGTTAGCCAAAAGTGTAGTCATCTTGAGTCTTGACTGAGGGATAGCACAAACCTAAGATCACTCAAATAGTTATCAGCAGATGTGAAAAAACTCACACCCGAGTCTTCCCACTTGCTTTCCCAAAGACAGCCTCAGATGGCAACTGGCTTTCATGGAGCAAAAAGTCCAAGGACAGCACCCAAAATGGAAGCCACTGCTTTTCTATGACTTGGGGAGACAACAGTACTAGATCATATTTTATTTGTTGGAGAGGGTTGCTAAATCCAGTCCACAAGCATGGAAGGAATTCCCTGGAGCTGAGTGACTGGAGGAGGCATCTTGCAGGCTGAACCAGCACACAATCAGCTGTGAGATTGCTAAGAAGGATCTGTGTCTGTTTGCACTAGAGTGGGTGACACAAATGCACTATAGTGAGACAAGTCACAATGTAAAAACTGTCTATGAGTGTGACCTGCTTACACGGCCCAGGACAGCAGTACTGCAAGGCCAGAAAGCAGGTAAGTGACTGCTCGAGCAAGTATACCCTACAGATGGATTCAGAGAGAGGGGCACTCATTGCCTTCAATTGTGTACCCACCTGACCTCTTCAGGCTCCAATGGAGAGCCGAATCCAAAGGTCACACAGATGGTCTCAGTTAAACTAATTATGTCCCACAAAACCCCCAAAGTCGTTCATCTGGAAAAGGGCTAGTTAGGAGGAAGAGGAGGGGTGGGAGAGAGACAAGAGAGGGACAAGGGAGAGAGTAAACAGAATGTGTTATATACATGTATACCAAGTATATACCAAGAAGTCCCAGGGAGGGATTTTCAGAAGAGGTGGGGTACAGATTCCCCTCACTAGACACCTTAGAGAGCGCCTGAACCCCCAGGGAGCTGACCATTTTCTGTTTCTTGATTTGACAGAGGTTCCAATCCCACAGTTCAAACAACAACAAAATATTAAAGAAGGAAGAAAGGGAGGAATAAAGAAGGCAGAGAGGAATATTTAATTGATCTACATTTTGACTCAATGCCTGGCCACATCACTTTCCCTATACAAGATGCCATGAGTCTTACTCTAAAATCAGAACAAACCCAAAAGTCAACTGAACAAGCAGAACTCTCTTAGATCAGAATGGAAGCAGTCAGAGCCATGCTCTTTGAAATTAATAACACAAAATTAAGTCTTCTAAATTCAGGGTGTTGTAGCAAATAGAGTATACACTTGAATCTGGAACACAGATTTAAGATTTCCCCTTAGAATTTCACAGGGATAGAATGTTAAAGCTGGCTCTGTGTCCTCTTTGTTAAAGATCAGTTGAACATCTCAAGAGTTTTGTGCATGAAAAGAAAGTTATCTCAATTGGGGATTCAGGCTACCAAAGCAACTTAACATTTTAACACTGGTGGAGTTTCATGAACACCATGAGTTTCTGGCACCTGACACTTTCCCCAGGGCTATTGAAATACCCACTGCCAGGCCCTATGTACTAGTCTCAGTAAGCATCTGCCCATTAAAACAATGGTGTGTGCTGCAAAGGAACCTCAAATGACAGGCAGAGAGTGGAACCAGAAAAATCCCTGTTCTATTCCACACATGCAGCCTGTGACATGTGCATCACCACGGTAACTCTCCAGGTGATTTTTTTACAAATATTTTTATTCGTGTGTGTGTGTGTGTGTGTGTGTGTGTGTGTGTGTGCCATGTGCGCATACACCAAAAGAGGATGTCAAATCCCCAGGAGCTGGAGTTGTAGGCAGTTGTGGGTCACCCAATATGGGTGCTGGGAACTGAATTCCAGTCTTTTCAAGAGCAGCAAGTGCTCTTAACCACTGAGCATCTCTCCAGCCCCTCAAGGCAATTTTTAGGATAGATCCGCCATGCCCGCAGTACAGTTAATGTCTGTTCTAAATAAAGGCACAAGAAGAAAGTACATGTTTAAAATAATTTAAAGTTCTAAATGAGTCAGGAATAGCACTATTTTCTAGGAAATGATTTTTCTTCCGAGTGCCAGGAGCTGCATGCTACCTCTGTTTCCCAGAAATAATTATGTTTGCTCATTTGCTGAAATACAGTTATGTGTGGCTAATTATAGCGATCACTTACTTTAATTGCTATCCTTTTGCTGATGTGAACACAGACTTGGATCTTTTCTGTGTACTTAATTATTCCCTGGACTTGTGGCAATTTATCACTACTTTAGAGAGCTGCTTTTAGTGTTAGAACGCTTCAGTTATATCAAACAAAATATTGTAAATATAAAGATGTTTATTTTGTGGGGAAGTAGAGATATAAAAATTCCAGCTAGGACATTTAATGATTAGTATGATTTTCTTTCTTGCTGCTCAATGAATATACGTTTTATTGCTGAGCCTCAGGAAAAATGGCGATTAAAGATGGAGTCATTACATTTGAGTTTACATTTATCTCTCTGTGAAGATGCTCTTATTTTTATGTGCATTATTTTCATTCTCTGTGTGCATTCTGGGTTATTTGTACTGATAAAGGCTGGCTAAGGGGAAGGACTGATGAACTCCCACAGGGAACCAAGGAATCTACATTCTTTGCACTGTTTGCAGTACCTTATTGAGTTGGGCACCGTGAGGATCAGATCCAAGGATGTGAGAGTGTGGCTTCCATTAACCACACCTCTAGACAGAGCTACTGGCCAGGGAGCTTAGGGTTGGAACCCAGAAAACACATCAATACACATTTTCCAACTTTA